CAGGAGCTGCGGCGGCGCCTCAAGAGCGCGGCGCCCCGCGGCTGGCAGGACGACTGAGCGGGGGGCGGCTGCACCCCCACGGGGGTCCCCGCTCCCTGCTGCGCCCCGCTTCCCGGTGCCACCCCCTGGGTCTCTCCACAAGTGCCTTTAACTGCAGCGCCGCACGGTGAGGGCTCTGCCCGCCCCACACACGCCGTGGGGCCTTGGTTCTAGCCAGCAGTGCCCCACGCAGCCCGCACCCGCAGACGGGGGTCTCGGTTTGGCCACCCGCTCCGCTCCCAAAGCCAAGCGCAGCCCCCCGAGGGGCGCGCGGGGGGCGTTTGTGCCGAGCCTGGCACGTGTCCGTGTCCGTGTGCCCGGCAGCGGCCGCTCGGCAGGACGGAGCGGATTCCCCCGGGAAGCCGCTTCCCTCCTCCGGGCCTCTGCCGGAGCGGGAGCCTCCGGTTCCCTTCGGGAGCGCGGCCGGGGTTCCTCTCCCTTCCCCAAAGCTGGGGCTTGTGTTTGTGCCAAACGGGGTGCCAAGCTGCTGCCACGCGCCCCTTCTAGGAGGCGGCCACCGAACGCTGCCTCGCTGGTTCTTGGTTTTTCAGAAAGCTGCTTTTAAAGCTATTTTGATACGTGGTGCCAAATAAACACTATTTAACGCCAGCGCCGGGGAGCTCGTTTTGCAGTCGCGGCAGAGGGCAGCGAGGGCCGGGCMGGGCGGCGGTGTCACCGGAGCCGGCCGGGGCGCGCGGTGCCTGGCAGGGACAGCTGCTCCAGCCGGGCGCCGTCCCAGCCGCCCTTCTCTCAGGATCTGTCCCCTCCATGTCCCCGCTGCCCTCCAGGCGTCCTCGGCACCGAGTCCCGCTGGCCTGGCCGCCTGCCCGGTCTGGCTCTGCCCGCCGGTGCCCCCCAGTCCCTCCCCGGGGGAGGAGGGCGGCGGGTGGAGGGCGAGGGATGGACGCTGGCGTCCGGGCAAGCCCCGTCCTTGGTGGCGGAGGCATCCGCTGTGCCCGGTGGGGTCCACCTTGGGGGGCCCGTTGGGGATTGCGAAGGGTGTTTAGTGCTGCACATCCCGGGAAGGTGCCAGGTGCTGCACGTCCCGGGAGGGGACTCCTTGG